TGGTTAAAGCCAAGTGTCTGTGGTGACTGGGGCTGGTTAGGGGACAGTGAAGGGTCAGTGGTGACAGCTGGGGTTGGGGGAGGAAAACCACCCATGAAGACCAAGTTTCCACTTCCTTTTTGCAAACCTCTCTTCTTTCTGAACATTGTTTATTTTGATTTTGGATGTTTTGATTGTTTTGTCTCCCCCCCCCCACATGGAGCGTGTGTGTGTCAGAGCACCTGACAGCCCGCACGTCCCTACTGTTGTTGACTTTGTACACGCATCTATGGCAATCCATCCCCCTGTCTACACTTTTGTCCCAGTAATAACACCGTCGGAGACCTAAAGACTCCCTGGAACCACAGTGACAGTTTTACTCTTGGCACTCTTGGGGTGGCCTTTAAAGGGGGTGGGTGTGTCCTTGGCCCTGGGTCCCAGAGCTGGCTCTGAGCTGGTGGCTAAGAGGAGCCCTGGGCCATCCGCCCTCCAGAATTTGAGAAGGCCAGGCTTTTACAGCCCACCAGTTTCCTCACACCCAGCAGTTGTCCCAAGGCAAAGATGAGTCATCGGGCCACACTCTTTCTTGGGCTCTCCCTGCTTGCCTGAGATGGCCATGAAATGTGGCCTGGACTGCTGGCTTTCTGCCAACCTAGCCGCCTGGGGCAGTGATCCTAGAGGGGCACGCCATGGGCACAGAGAGGCAGGTCTTGGGGAGGGAGATGCCGCCTGCCATGGTGCTCAGGAGTTGAAGAGTCCAGTAGCAAAAGCTGTAAGAGCTCTCTATCCCCCGACGCAGCCACGTAGGCCGAGGGCATGGGTGGCGTATCTGCCTTCTCTCTTTAAGAGCTTGTCATCCATTAAGCTCAATGAAAAAGTAAATAAAGAAAAAGTGAGGGGAGCTGGAGAGCAAAGCCTGGCACAGCTCAGAGGAGACTGGGGATCTGACCTTCACTTCTTAGACCTCTTTGGTTCACACTTTCATGTTTTTTTAAAAGGAAGAAAACTTAATAATTAGCTCAAAACATGAGGGATCATTCTATAGCAATAGATGAATAAATAAATAAAGTTCTGGGTTTGTCGAATATATCCTCATTTTAAAGGAGAAGATTGTGCCTTATAAACATTTTGGGGGGAATGTGGGAGGAATTCACAGGTGACAATGAGGTGAGGAGTTTTCAATGCATTAAAACTGCTGCGCGTGTGAGCGTGTGCCTGTGTGAGGGGAGGAGACATTCCATGTCTGTTTAATGTGTAACATATGGGAGGATAGGGGACGTTTGGAAGCGAGTAGTGAGTATGCAGTTATTATGGTCGATGTGTGCGCAATGATGGTCTGATGGCCAGGTAAGGCTGGGGAAGTTGGGGTTAGATCTTCATGGAATTGAGGTATGCTTTCTAACGGGTGTCAGGGAACGTTTCCAGCTGTGCTAGCGGATTCACACCCCCATCTTCACACATTCACCTTCACACATCCACAAACCGCTAGTCCTGTATTTACCCAAACCCAGGTACACGCGCAAGCACGCACATGCCTTCTGCGTCCGGAGCCAGTATGCCCTAAGACATTTGGCCAGAAGATCCCGGGGCTAGAACTCCCTTTACAAGGTCCTACAAGCCCAAATCCCAGGGAAACTTGAATAGAGGTAGAAAAGTGTTTGATGACAGAAAAAAAAAAAAGTCCGCTTGCTTGCAGTTCTTGCGATGGCCATAATGCTACAAGAAACTGTTGCACTCCGGAGCTGCGCAGGGCGAGGGCAGGCAGGGAAGGAAAGGGAAAAGAGGCCGGAGAACTTGAAAGACCAAATCCGTACTCAGGCTGAGAACACCCTCGGGGCGCGGGAGCCTGGCAGGGGGCGGAGAAGGGGCCGGGGAAGGGTTAACGCGGGAGCGGAGCGTGCGGCGGGGGCGGGCCGGGGCGGGCCGGGGCGGGCCGGGGCGGGCGCGGGGCGCTGTCCCTTTAAGGCGGGGGGCGCGGGGCCGCCGAGCGCCGCTGTGATTGGCGCGGCGGGATCACTGGCTCCCCGAGCCGGACCCGGGGGAGTCGGCTGGAGCCGGCCGCGCTTTGATAAGGTCCTGGCAACTCAGTAACAGCCCGAGACCGGGAAATAAAAATAGCCCCTCTGAGCCCTGGATTTCGGGGCCGCCCGGCGGCCGAGGCGCCCGCCGCCCCCGCCGAAAGCCCTGCTGTAAAAGGTGGGGGTGGAGGCTCGGCCCCCGCGGAGCCGCTTCAAAGAAAGCCCCCCTCGGGCAGGGGGCGAGGTCGCTTCGAGCCGTGGCGCGGGCGCGGGGGCCGGGAGTCGGTCCGGCCGAGCGGAGGCCGGGCCCGGAGGGCGGTGCGGGCCGGACGGCCCCGCGGAGCGCGGCGGGGGTGCGGGGGGCGGCCCGGGGCGCGGCCGGCGCGTACCTCCCTTTCAGGACCGTGCGCTCGGCTCGCGCCTTTGAAGTGCACAGTTAAATCCGCAGCGCAGTTTTTGTTGGAAGCGCCCGGAGGACATTTGGTGCGCCGAGTGACTGCTGGAAACAGGACCTGTGTTGAAAGCCCGGCCGGGCGGGGGCCGGAGGGGCCGGGGGCGGCCGCGGCGGGGGCGGAGGCCCACTCGGGTCTTTTGCATAAAAGGGGCGGCGGGGAGCGCCTCTCCCCCTCCCTGGCCGGTGGATCTCGCTCTGATCCCGGGTTGTTGTTTCCCCGCACCCCCTCCCCCGCCGCGCGACTCCCCATGTTCCCCGACACCGGGGCCGGCCCGGGGGGGCCTGGGGCTGCCGCCGAGAGCCAAGCCGGGGGCCGGGGCCGGGGCCCTGCCCGGGGCGCCTGCGAGGTCTCGCCGCGGAGCGCGCGCGCGGATCAATGGTGAGTGCCGAGGCCGCGGCGGCCGGGCGGCCCGCGCGCTTTGATGTGCGGGGCGGCCCTTTGAAGTTGGCAGGCCGGCTATTTCAGGGCGCGCTCCGGGCCAGCGCCGAGGGGAGCGGCGGGCCGGGCGCCCAGCGCTCCGGGGGGCTTGGCCCGGCCGCCCCGCGCGACCTGCGCGGGAGCCCCCTCCCCAGCAGGGGGCCCGGGTGGCTGGGGGCTCGGCGAGGAGACTTCTCCAAGTGGCGGCAGTGGCGGGGGCGGAGAGGAGGCAGATGCCCCCCGGGGGTCGCGTAGCTGTTGTCGTTAATGGGTGTGAGTAGGGCTGTGAGTGTGCGCGGAAGGGCCTTTGGAAGGTGGGATGAAAGGGTGGCGGCGCCCCCCGCTTGCCCTCCCCCCGCCT